CCGCGGGCCAGACACCCCGCCCCCCCCGGCCAACGGCACGCCTGGGGCGCCCCTACCCGCGCCCAACCGCGCTCACCTGCTCGGTGCTGCCCCGTCTGCGCCCACCTGTTCCGCCGGCGCGTTTCGCATTGGCCCTCTCGGCCCCGCCCTCGCCCACCTGCTCCGCTCCACCTGCTCCCGCGTGCCGGCCCCAGCTCACCTGCTTGGGCCGACACCCCGCCCCCCCCGGCCAACGGCACGCCTGGGGCGCCCCTACCCGCGCCCAACCGCGCTCACCTGCTCGGTGCTGCCCCGTCTGCGCCCACCTGTTCCGCCGGCGCGTTTCGCATTGGCCCTCTCGGCCCCGCCCTCGCCCACCTGCTCCGCTCCACCTGCTCCCGCGTGCCGGCCCCAGCTCACCTGCTTGGGCCGCGGCGGAGCACCTAGCGGAGCGGGAAAGGAAGGCGCCGGGCTGGCAGGTGCAGCGACAGCGAACGGCGCGTCTGGGACAGGAGGGCCGCATAGGGCGCAGTCGCCCACTTTACTCTCTCTGTGCCTCGCCGGAGAGGAGGTGGAGGGAGGAAGGGGAAGGAAGGGTCCCGTGGGGCGCGCGCGGACTGACCCTCCTGGCGCCCGGAGGACAGTGTCAGCCCCCGAAAATTCTGAGCGCCCCCCCGCGACGGTGCCCCGGGCGCAGGCGCTGCGGGCAGAGGAGAATGTAGCCCTGTCTGTGCCCACAAGGGCTGCTGAACACCGGAGGCAGGACGGGGCCGTTGACAGGCGCCGCCAGTGGGAGGCCGCGGGTTGGGGCGTGCGGCGCCTGCGCAGACAGCAAGGACGGTTGCGGACAGGGTTCGACCAGCAGGCATGGCGGCCTGGCAGCCGGGGCAGGTCAGGGGAGAAGCATTTGTGCCACCCCAGGAGCACGGAGAATGGGTGATTTGTTCTCCTGGCCCAAAGAGGCTGCTGCTGGGCCGGGTGGGTTTCCCGGGGTGGGGGTGGGGGCGAGTGATGGGGTCAGAAGGTTTGAGCAGGCCTCCCACACTGCCTCCTCCCGCCATGGCGGTGCGGCTGTTTGGGTCCCTACACATTAAAAGGGCGCCAGGGTGGAGGATGGGGTGACGAACAGAAAAAAACGGCCTCTGGAGACATTGCCCTGGACAGAGGGATAACTAGCTGCCCCCAGCCATGTAAGAGTCCCATAACTTATGAGCTACCTCTCAGGTCTTCACTGAACACCCCAGGCTGACTTATTTCATGTACCCCTCCTCCCTCCCCACACACCCACACACCAGCTCCCCATGGTGGGGGGAGGGCCATTCTGGCCCCCACCCCGC